TTCTGCCTTCCGTTTCCGGATGTGCTCCAAATCTATCTCCCTCTCCCTCGCCCTGGCAATCATAGAGTCCAAGGTGGGGCAAGCTGAAAAACTAACGTGCTCCCGTATATCTGCCCGGAGCATGTCATGATAGTGGGTCCTCCTCATGTCCTCATAGCCCGCATATTGGGGCACCAACAGTGCCCTCTCCCGGAACTTGGTGGTGATTTCCACCACAGTCTCTGTCGTCTGCCTCATGTCCAAAAACTCCCTGGCCAGCTGATGAAGCTCGACAGCCGGTGCAAACTCTGCCTTGAATCTAGTCACAAAATCTGACCAAGTCATAGCCTCAATCGCTGAGGCTCCCAACGAGTCACCCACTGACTCCCATCAGTCTCGAGCTTGGTCTCGTAATCACCCTGCTGCATACCTCACCTTCGACCCCTCGGGGCAGAAGCTAGTCAACTGTGCAGACTCGATGTCTGCAATCCATCGTCTGGCGGCAATGGGGTCTTTCACCCCATGGAAATCCGGCACACCACTGCCCCTGAAGTCCTTAAAGGACAATGTGCGAGATCCCGACTGGCCAGATGCCATGTCGCTCCTGAATGCCCGGAGGCGATCTTCCATCAACTCGATGATCCCCTCCTTGATCGACCCGAAGATAATGGGGGTCGACTCAAGGATACCCCTGGTGATCTCTGACGCGATGAACTCACGTAGTCCCTCATCTACTAGCTCGGAACCTGATCCCGAACCTGACCCCTCTCCTGAACCGCCATCTATCGGCCTCGATCGTAGTACCACCATTCTGCAATACATAAATAACAATCATTAGTGATACTAATACTTCTTGAGGGATCACAACCACTTACAAGTTCCCTGGTCTTATCTTGGCCTTCCTTGGTTCGGGTACGGATCCTCTGCTTTCAGTAGTACGGGCCCATACTACCTTCCACATCTATCCGTACCTTCTTCAAGGACTGCCTCGACTCCACCAGATTCCTTCCACTACTGCTGATCACCGCTATACTCATCCTAGGCTTGCCCTAGGAAATCTCAGGCTCCACCCTAACATGTCCTCATCTGCTGAAGGCCTCCTAGTAATGCCAGTTAACCATTACTTGAATACCATCACATGGGGTGAGGCTCGAATAACCCTTCGAGTAACAGACTCGTCCCTACAACGGTTAGACTCAAACGAGAGCTGCGCAATAGGGCCAAATCCAGCACTCTAAGATTATTCAACCATGATCACATGTGACATGACGTATTCACCTAATGGCTAACTCCCACCACTCAGAGTCCCACAAAGCACAAAGCAAGCAGCATTCGAACTAAGGGAACAATCTCAAGCAAATCCGCTCTCATAGAGAGAAACTGATCTAGCATACAGAGCTAATACTCATACTATCATGCATAACCTAACCGGCTATCCTACTGCTGTCTACTCAATTCTAGCATGCAATTTTCATACACTGAAACACATAAAGCAGGCACATAAGGCATCACTACTAAATCCTTAGTCCTATTCTAGCATGTTGTTCTACTGAAACCGATAAACACAATATAAGCTTGTATGGGTACTTTGGGGAATACTTACTTGAGCTCGGCCGGTTGTGCACATCACACATTTCGTTCTTTCTCAAACCCTTTTCTTAATTCTTAGAAAACATTTCTTTTTGGAAAATCTTTTACTCCCTTGATTTGAGTTCAGACACCCCCGAAGGTGAGTCCGAATCCCTCAAACCAGGGCTCTGATACCAACTTGTAACGACCTAGTTTTCACGTCCAAAAATTTCGTTTTTAAAACATTACTAAGAAAACATTAATAATTAAAACATTGTTTAATTAAACCATTTCACATCGGAAACCCAAATTTGAAATCCACAACATGTAAACAGCCAAAATATCAGAGTATCAATCCCAGAATAATCTCATAACTGCGGAAACAAGAGTGTGTGTGACATGCTGCTACCGCGCCGGCTCCTTTCCCTTAGCTGAAGAGGTACCTGAAACCAAAACTGAAAACTATAAGTACGAAGCTTAGTGAGTTCCCCCACCGTACCACATACCATATAACCACATAACATGCATATATTGTCAGACATATCTGGGTGTCCGACCTACCCCTTCGGTCCTCTCGACCGGACGTTGCCTGGCATACCTGGGTGCTGGCCTCCCCTTCGGTCCTCTCGACCGGATACTGCCTAGCATATCTGGGTGCTGGCCTCCCCTTCGGTCCTCTCGACCGGATGCTGCCTAGCATATATGGGTGTTGGCCTCCCCTTCGGTCCTCTCGACCGGATACTGGGGAACTATTTGTCCCATCTACTACTACCACATAACATGTATCACAATATCAGAATCTATCTAGCATGGCTGGGTATGACTACCCCTTCGGCCCTACCGACCGGATATCTTGGGGACTATCTCCCCCTACTGTCACAAGCACATAGCATCATGTCATACTAGCACATCACATAACACAGGTAGTAGTAATCCCTAGATGAATATCACAGAGACAATCATCTACATACAACTCCTACTGGTGGGCCGGCATTGTGGCCGTAGACCCACCGCTACTGGAAGGTAACTCACCTCAAAGTAGTTGTTGATCTGATCGGGAACTAACTGTCTATTGCTGCTGCTCTGGACGTCCTCCGGCTATAATTCCCACAAAACGATCAGTCAAACACTGCTAGATGTACTTAGGGTAAAATGACCCTTTTACCCTTGACCAAGTCGAAATCCAAGTCAAAGTCAACTTCCAGTTGACTGGACTCGCCGAGTCCTTCCCTTACTAATCCAGTCCTACTCGCCAAGACCCTCTCCCACTCACTGAGTCACCCTTGACTCACCACTCGGGAATATGGGGCCAACTCGAGTCCCGACTCGCCGAGTCCGCAAGCAACTCGCCGAGTTCCTCGAGCGGATCCCCTACTCGCTTCCAATCCACACTAGATCACCCCATACGAGGGTTTGGGGTTTAGGGGATTTCGTTACACGGTTAATTCCGCGTGCAGGTACGAAGGGTTGATCCTTCAATGCTTAAACCCCTCTTGCTCTGCGAAAGTTCATATGACTCGCCGAGTTTGAAGAACAACTCGGCGAGCTCCAGGCAATCTTCATAGGACTCGCCGAGTTGTTCATCCAACTCGCCGAGTCTAAGACTGTCTGCATAGAACTCGTTGAGTTCCACTATGGGACTCGCCGAGTCCCTCGACCCATTTCCCAAGTAGGTTAGATCTGAGACATGCAATGCTTCAAAACCACATATCTATGGTCCTAGGGCATGTTTACCACGTAAAGTTGCAAACTTTACGTGCATGCACGGCCCTATGAGCTCAAATATACGATTCCAAGCTCTTTAAGAGGTCCTACACTCAATAGGGACCTCAATCACCTCAACCACAGAGACTTTATGCTACTAGGATGTCCTAAAGGTCCAAATCCGAAGTCCTTGCAGAACACTAACCATAAACACATAGAGATTTAGGTTCTTAGGGCTTAAAACCTCTTTTTAGGGACAAAAAGGGGGGTTCAATGAACTAAAGATCAAGGCAGGAACTTTTCTACCTGAATAGAAGCCCTTCACAGAGTAGATTCCGGATCTTCTTCCCTTCTTGCACTCTTCAACCTTCTCCTTCTTCTCCCAAGCTCCAAACTACCTTCACAATGCTAAAAATCACCCACAAGGACACAAAGGGGGCTAGGGTTTCGTTCTACAGATCTCTGGGAGTGCTAGGGGAAATGGAGGCTGGGTTAGATCGTTTAAATAGGGTGCAAACACCCGGGTTAGGGTTTTAGTCCAGACAGGGTCTACTCGTCGAGTCCCACGAGCCTACTCGCCGAGTAGACAAAGTAGATCCCGCGTCTAGTCCCGCTTCTACTCGGCGAGTTAGTCCTTCAACTCGCCGAGTCTAAGATTAAAATACAATATATAAGGAGAGTTAATAATCAAGAAAACATACCAGGAACCAGGTGCTACACATCTTGTGCATCTGATGATGTCCCATACGCCAAAACCCGCATAGATGTCGTACATTTCTGCAATGGTGAAAGACCTTTTCTACCTGTGGCATCACGCCTTTGTTGAAAATATAGGTCATTAGCTGTAACAGCTGTCACTATACGGAGAAATAGTGGTCTTTGCATACAAAATCTACGCCGAAAGGTTGCTTGGTCATACGTTGGGCTGTCAACAAAGTAGTCTTCCATTAAACGTGCCTCACCCTGCTCACGTTCTCGGTCGCAATACCTCCTTCTTGCTCTGGGAGGATGATCTTGTATGAGTAATTCAGTGATGATTTCATCGAGTTGTCTATTATTTTGAACAACCCGTGTTTCCCATTCTGAATATTCATTCGAACTCGATGAGTTTTCATTATGAGACATTTTTCAAAGAGATAAGAAATGAAGAGTTAGTGTTGGATATCAAAGTATGCCAGTGATATACCTATTTATACTAAAAAGATAATTATAAAAAATAAAGATAATGTTATGTTAGTTTATCTAAATAAAATCTAAGCATCTAATACAAAAGTGACACATAGAAATAAAGATAATATTCGATTTGGTAGATGATAAAGTGTGCTACTGGCCTACTGACAACTCCATGTGCAAAAGAGATTTATAAACAACATTACTTAATAAAATATATTACAAATACGTGAAATACAAAAGTATAATATCTTACAAGTACATAACACACAAAACTACATAATAAAATATTTTACAAGTTAATTAAAAGACAAACTAGAAATATACAACACATGATAACCGATAATTAGTTTCCATAAAACTTCGACATTAGAAAGTGTTTCATGTTTTCTTCTTCAAGCGATAAATGCTCCTTTTGTAGCAATGTGTTCAAATGCAAAAGTTGCATCTTGACGAGTTCCCTTTCATTTGTTTTTTTTTCTCCCTTCCCTTGTCTAAGTCGATTCTTTGTTGCTGCATTTCTTTATCCAAGTCGATTCTTTTTTTCATGACTTCAAGATCACTTTCTCTAGCAAGCCTCATTGCACGAAGTTCTGTAACAATTTCGTTAGAAGCCTTACCTTTCCTTTTTTTTTTGCTACATCTCTGCCTGTTGGATGTTTAACCATTGGATGTTTAACCATTGAACCATCACTAGTTGGCGTTTCTGGGTTGGAATGGACACAAAACTCCCCTTCTTCAGTAGTCTTTGATCTTTTCGAGCTATCACCACTTTCTTCATTACCCACTTCACATTCAGGATGGGAACGTGTTGTGTCATGATCTAACTCTAAAGCCCACTTTTCATGTTTACACATAACTTCATTAAAAACAATAATGTTGTTGAACTTATTCCCACTCGCCTCATAAAGTTTATGAGCCTTGTTTTCAATATCTTTTTGACTCATTCCACTTCTTCTTCGACGCCATGCTTCCCGATACACACCAACCCAGTTTTGTACATTTTCACTAAGCCGTTTAAAACGACCTCTCATTTTATCTCCGTTCCTGCTATTTAGCATTTCTGGATTTTCAACCCAAGTGGCATCATACAGTTGCTTTATTTGTGCCCACAATGATGCTTTTTTTTGGTTTTTTCCACGCTCCTTATCTTCATTAGCAAAACACTATGCTGATATTAAAGCGACATCTTTTGCAGCATCCCATTTATTTCCTCCTGGTTGTTTTTTAGTATTTTGTGATGTTTGAAGATTATTTGTGACAGGATTTTGGTTAGGATTTGAAAAAAACGAAGAATTTTCAAAATACTGAGCATTAGAACGATTTTGAGAGTCTCCAAAATTTATATAAAAATTTGGAAACTCACCATCCATATTTAGAAAAATACAAATAAAAGGGGATTAAAATACAAAATGGGGATTGGATATGAAGATATATGATATCATACTCTTTTTATAGGTTACAAAAAAAAAATTACGATTTTCAGTATTTTTTTCTGAAGTGGATAATGTTAAATTTTATTAAATATATGATTTTATTCTAAAAATCTAATGGTTAATTTATAGGACACGTGGATTAAAAAAAAAGAAAAGTAATACCAACTCTATGTTTGATATGCCCACTCAGTGGCTTTTGTCCCCATTTCTTATTTATTTATTATTATTATTGCAACCAACTTTACTTTTAGTCATGAATGGGAATGGTGTTAACAATTTAGTTTCTAGTTCATTAATATTAAATATCAATGTACAACTTAACTTTTATGAAATAATTAGGTATACATATACAAATAAACCATTATAGAATGACTTAAATCACTTTTTTTTTGTAACGGCAGAATGACTTAAATCGTTATAACTCATTTAAAGAAAAAATATATATCGCTAAAATGATAATCTAAACATTTCATTAACATTTAAAGTAGGTTTTCATCTTCGCTAAAATAATAATCTAAACATTTCAGTAACATTTAAAGTAGGTTTTCATCTTCAGATATCATATTCATAGTTAACGCATTCATGCTAGTTAGCAGTATGACTTTCATCGAATACAACTTTCCATAGAATTCTATATGTATCTATAAGATGGAGTATGAAATTCTATTTACTCACTGTAAATTGAGTATATGTTGCCCTCATTTTCCTGCTAGAATTGAAAATCATGTATTTTACATATCCATAAAACCGAGTCATTATTTTACATATCCATAAAACCGAGTCATTATTTTACATATCCATAAAACCGAGTCATTGAGGTTCCCCAAATAATGTAAAAAGAGGTGCATCAAATCATTGGTTTTTGACTCGGACACAATAAACAAAACAATCAAATAAAAGGTACCCATATGTTTAAAACAAAACAGTGAAACAAAAACTCCCCAAAGCAAAACGTTGCTATGATTATAGTGGCGGCACAATAGTTGGGGTTTTTTTGTTACAATTTGATGAAATTACAAAAGATGGTGATGAACAAGTTGATAGAAAGAACAATGTAACAGAACGACGATGTTATAGTATTTTGAACTTCTAAATGAGGTCCAACAATAGAAATGCTATAACAACACTTTCTAGTTTCTATAATCTGTACTAGTAAAAATGCCATGACCATCAAAATTTACTGAAGCATTTTAAGTTGATAACTATATAATTACAAACACAAGATATTTATGAAAGTGGATATAAACTTCGCTAAAGAATAAGATATAGATTAAGCATGGACATAGAGGATGAACCTATATAAAAATAAAGTCAATCAAACATGGACTTCCATTTCCTTAATTTGTAATTTTGTATTTGCTTCAATGATTCGCTATACCTTGGCATAATTTATATGTTACACTTACAATTGGTAAAGATTATATATCTATCTATCTATCTATATCTACCAAACCTCTGAATCCTTCGGTGTCGTAGTTCATCTAAAGGAATCATCTCTGAATTTGACAACTGCGCAGAAGATAATCCATCATCACCACGCCCTGTCCCACACACTTCGCACACACTTAACCAACCGGAGTTGTCATATGTACAAGCCCGGCACCTCCATATACCACCTGCAACCGCACTTGTTCTCCTTTGTCGTGGAGAGGACTGCTGCCATATTCGCATATGTAGAGATCTTACTAAAGAAGTTAACCCTTTCACCATTGTTGCCAAAGGAGATGGGGCTTTTTTAAAACGTAGATAAACTATGCCTGCGAGTATCCCACCAAGATGGCCTAGAAAGGACACATTAGGAACAAGCAATTGGATGAGAACCAATTCAGCCCAAGCAGCATGCTTTGCGGGCACCACAAATCCATGGAGATTAGTGTAGCCATCTGAGTGTGAATTAAGTACGACTTTCATTGCAAACAGGACACCCGAGAATCCAACAGAGTATTCATGGTAATAAGCTGTTTCATAATCGAAAAGAAGAAGAAGAGATTTAGCTAATAAGAGCGTGATGCCTTGTGACAATCCAAGTAGGGTGGCAACCATAGCTGTGAATTCAGCACTTCCTAGCCAAGTTTCTAACTGGATGCCCTTCCATAGAAGCGAAATCATGTTGTAGGCAAGATGAGTTTCACCGAGATGGTAGAAAGCAGATAAGAATAAGCGCTTTAGGTCCTTATTCTGCTCAAAACAACACAACATATTGACTGAGAGAAACAGAGGAGCTTGTGATTTTGGTTTGCTAGGATAGAAATGAAACCCTAAAATGTACCTTAACGATGAGATGAGCATTGAATAAGACGTCTTCAATTTTGGGAAGGATCTGATGAAGGAAAGCAGGTCGAAGGTAAATGAGGGTGTTGGCAGCAAGAATCGCCGCCGTGACCGGGGGTTTACGTTCAAGCCTCCGGTACTCGTTCACGGCCTGCAATAGCATCAAGGGTATCATCCCGTTCGACACGTTCCTATTGTTTCTTCTCACCAACGGCATCTTCTTTCTTTTCTAGTTTTCTGCACCAGATAATGATCGTATTAAGCACCCAACACAGATTGAAGACGGGGAATTAAGTAATTGAAGAATAATAGCTTGTTCTAGTTCCTTCCGAGAAACTTCTAATACCATATCATTTTTATAATAATAGAAATTTAGCCAAAATATTTATAAAATTAAAGAAAATATTTATAATAATAGGTGGTGTTTTTTTATTAACTAGGTTATAAAATTAAACAAATTTTTATCCTTAGAAAACTATAATTCTTATATCAATTATCCTCCTTAATAAATAAAGATTTTTTTATCACATGTCCTCTTTTCCTTCATTTGGATACATTGTATTTTCTAGAATTTTTAAATTTTTTATTTTTTACTTATCATTTTATTGTAATTTTCATTTTATTAAATTAAAATTCAACATTTAATATGTAAGGTAATATATATATATATATAACGTATTTATTAAAAATGATTTATATATGTAATGTATTCAATGTATTAAAATCTCATTAATTTTAATCATTTAAGTTTTTTTTCAAATTTTCTTATAAATTTAAACTTCTCAAACTGTATTTCAAATTTTTTACTTAATTATAACATAATTTAAAATCAAAGCATTTTTTATTGTAATAATTGGAATAAAAGAGGCATGGGAGAGCACTATAATAAAATTAGAAAATTTTCATTAAGAAAACATCAAGTATTTCTTTAACAAGGGAAAATAGAAGTTATAAAAATAAAAGAATAATAAAAAGAACTATAAAAAAAACAATGAAAAAAATATTATAAAGACAAAACTACAAATTTAGTCCTTGTGGTATGTTAAAAATTGGGACTTTGGTCCAAAAAGTTTTGGAGTTGCACCAGTAGTCCAAAATAAGAATTATATTGTAGGTTTGGTCCAAAATTGGTTGAAAATATTTCAAATGACGAATTTACCCTTTTGATTTTGTTTTTTTCATTTTCTTTTATTTCCAACAATTAAAGAAAACTCTAAATTAAAATACCCTCTCCCTCTCTCTCTACACAAAAAAACGACCTTCTAAAAAATATGTCCCTCTCTCTCTCTCTCTCTCTCTCTCTCTCTCTCTCTCTCTCTCTCTTCTTACTGACTCTCTCTCTCTCTCTCTCTCTCTCTCTCCTTCTCTCTCTCTCTCTATTTCTCGTTTATGACCTTCTAAGGATGAACGCAGAACATGAATCTGAAAGATTTATACAAATGAAAATAGAAGAATACACAGAAGAACATGAATCTGAAATATTTATACCAAAAAAAAAAATATGTTCTTGAGCAAAGAACATGAAACCAAGAACCAGAAACACACCCGATTTCAGTTTTGATTCAAATTTAGGGTTTCAATTCAGATTTTCCCTTTGCCGCCACCGGAGAAGACTGTCTGTAAAGGTGGTCACAATCAATTATGACTCTTGGATGCGTGCGTCTCATGTGTGTCCTAACAAGAAGAAGAAATCGATGCCCTTTTCTACGACTTATTCTTAATTGAATCAGGTGGCAAAAATTGCAGCTCCATTCATTCTATTTTCTCCTAAATCGATCGAGCTCTCATCTATTTTTATATTTCCTGAATAACACCAGGTTTGGTCCTCTTTTTCTAATCGATCTTAATCCTTCCCTCTTCTCGAATTTGATGTTGCAGATCTGTCATTTCTGGCACTGAAGCTCTATCAAGAAGACAGTGTGTGTATGTGTGTGTTGTGTTCTTGGGTCACAAGAATCCTTCGTTCCTCTTCGACTAGTGGAAAGGGTACCCAAAGAAGTACAACATGACTAAATAAAGAGAGAGAGAGAGAGAGAGGGGATGATCACAGTGACGAGAGAGAGAGAGAGAGAGAGAGAGAGAGAGATGTAAATAAAGAGAGAGATAAAGAGGGGATGATCACAGTGACGAGAGAGAGAGAGAGAGATGTAAGTTTTTTTAATTATTTAAATACCAAATTAAATAAAGAAAATAGAAAAAAGAAATGAAAAGGGTAAAATCGACTTTTCAAGTGTATCAGGGACCAAAAACACAGAAAAACCTTGATATTGGACCTCTCATGCAAGTTAAAAACTTTTTGGACCCTATCCAAAGATTTTTGTAAACCACAAGGACTAAATTTGCAGTTTTGTCTA